TAATAATCAATAATCCGATATCTCAATAACAATTTATTAACGAGGAGCAAACGAAATATTGTTTCTGCATAATAGAGGTTAGGCATTACGTCAAATGGTAGGCACTCGATTATTGTAGATTTCCAGGAATAGTACAATAAACGAGCCTCAATCTCCCACGCTCTCTGTTCGATGCGACAAACAGTTGCAAGATGCACAAATATAAAGGTTACGGTAGCCACCTGGTGGCGGGAATTGGAACAAATTCTAGACTTTTACAAAAAGCTTGGAACGGGGGGGGCGGCTAGCATGTGGCGCCATCTGGTGGCGATTTTGGAAACTAGATTTAAAAAATCTACGTTTAGTTCCATTTTTCGCCACCAGGTGCCTACCATAATTTTAGCATCGACTAGGTATAGGATAGACCTATCATCTTATGGGACTCGTATCTCATGTTCTGAAATACCGATAGTATAAAAAGTCAGGGATTTTCTGCTGCCCTCTACATTATGAGAACGGTGAATTTATGAACTACGTTAAATCTAAGAAGGGACCATGGTCGTGAACGGATTCTCTTCTGTCCCTTCGCTGAAAAGTAGAAGTATTAGAAAGGCGTCTGGGGTTCCAGTCCCGACGGACCTATTGATTTTTTTTCGCGTACAAAAAAGTTATTGCGTTTAATATTGTTTTTATGAATATGTATATGTATTATTATGTACATTTGAGTAAATTATTTTATTATTCCATTGGTATTACAACAGTTTAAGTGACAACGAACGCATATATATTTTCAAATATCGGACTAACAGTATATTTTTATTCTGTATTATTACATATAAGTGAATAATACGTATCAAAAACGTAATCGAAACACAAATTTTTATTACACCACAAACATCGCATAAAAGATATTTCGTTATATTGACATTTGTAATAATTATGGATGTTGCAAGGAAATCAATATTATTGACATTATGGAACATATAACGAAATATCACTGTAACACTTAAAAAAGTTTTAAAGTTCCATTTATATCATTGTGCTTTGAAAATGTTCATACTTCCAACAGTATTCGTATTCCAATCAAAGAATTTACAGAATAAGGAAAAGGAACCTAAAGTAATTTTCAGTAGTTTCATACATCTTTATCTCGAATAATTTTCTAAAACGTTCAAAGTACTAGAAATTTTTACACTTTGAATTTCATATCGATTTCTAAAATAATCCTAGTTCGATGTAATA